CTGAATGTGCTGCATTAGGCCGCCTCATGTTTCAGTCGCTACGATATTCGAGATATCGCGATGCAAGTATATCTTGCTAATGTACTACTCATAAGGTTGCTGAGGAGTTGTCGATGGGTTTGTCGAGGAGGTTTTAGGAACCTTCTGAATAGTGAATCATAAAAACGATGGAAACTCCAGCTTATTCCGTTCTGGAGCTTACCAGAAATCATCATCCGGGTGTAGCTGCACGTTTATTGTCATATCATCATGACCATCATCCTCATTATCATCATCATCTTCTTCTNATCATCATCATCATCATCATCATCATCCGGATCACCATCATCACCATCGTTGACGATAACATCAGAGGTGGACACTGGTGCTTCGCTGACGTAAAACCAGGTCAGTAGATTTGATACGGTTTACAATGGAAAGAGGAACGGAATGGAGCTGACCGGGTGAAATGTGGCTTGACTGAAACAAAAATCAAAGGTGCCTAGGTCTCCAGCACTCAGTCAGGAAATCTGCATTGAATCTGACAACATCAATCCAACTGACATCGGTTAGCCGCGGATCGCTCGGTGCATCCACCCAGCACAATGAGAACCACGTGGAGACTAGAGCGAGATATGAGAGCGCGAATTTACTGACCGGAAGGTCCGTGGTTCGAACCTAATCTCTGCCTCTCGACTTCCTCCATCTAGGCTTCCCTGGCAGTATCCAAGCCCTCGTGGTTCCTTTGTCTGGCATGGCAGCCAGACAGCGAAAGGGTGTTAGGTCTGAATGAAGTCCAGTTCATAAAACGAATAGAGCCCACATTCTTCATAGCATCCTTGATTTCCTTCTGCCACGTCAAATTCTGTCTTGCTCAGCATTTCTACCACTTAATAAAAAAGGATGGAAAAACAGACCTCGTCTCAGAAAACGGTGACTCGGCATGCGTAGCACAGGGATGGATCGCAGTGCATGATACATTTTTTGGCAAAGTTCTGTCTGTTCCACCAAAGACCCGTCTCCAGATCACTTCAGTGCGAGCTCTGTGGTTTCAGTTGACTTCGGCAATAGTTTTGAGACATCTGTGGACGAAAAATTGAAGATGTCTCAGATTTTCCGTCTGCCGCTCAACCACATAGCCAGCAGTGTCGTCCAATAACCTCGTTCCCTGAAACTCAATGAGATGCGTGCTTGATGTCACAAGCGGTATAGATTAACAAACGCGATCCCCCCTCTGAGATTCTTGCGTCCAATTTTTCTGTCACACTACCATCAGAGACTCACCGAATTCTTAGGGGCATGCTCAAAGACCGCATATCTCGCAGCGTGACTTTGCTCTTTGTGAGCGCAAAGTACATACTGAGGGCTTAGCTGATTTCAGTCAGCTTCTCTAGTATTGCTTGCCCCATTACATAACTTCAATTCGTTATTCAACCACAAGGTAAGTTCCGTAGAGTTTCGCGGACTACCCTTACCCCAAGAGTCCACAGAAGAACGAAATCAGGAGTATAGACGCAGTATACTACTCATAAGGTTGCTGAAAACGTCCCGACAACTGCTTTTGTCCTTCTCTTCAGCCTCGTTAGATAGGCGCACTTCCACAGTTTCCGTCTGTTTTATGGTCTGATTGAACCCAAATTGGACGAGATTCGACTAGGACGCTCACCTGCGTCTGGTTTCTACGGTAGACTCACCAAAAACCCAACTGAATCTCTCGTTTGTCAGGTGAGGCGGTATGTATTTCATCAATTGCGTGAGACAAATCATACCGTAAGAGAAACCAATTCAATTCCGTTTGTATCTTTCTTTCTGAAGCGAGAGGTGTAGCAAATTCATTCGTAGAATATCATCAAAAAAGAGATCTAGTGAACTTTCTGTTGCGGACCACAGTCTCCTTGATGCCTTCTTATTACCGTGAACCCCGTTCTGAATGGCCGCTCAATAGCCTGATGCGCTTGGCCAAACCAGAAAAAGTCAATGAACGCGCGAGCCAACTGCTCTATCGATCCGTGTCGCGTACAAGCGGTTCAAAAAATTGATACTAAGAATACAACTCATCTGTCAAGGGCGAGTGAAGAACAACCAATGAAATCAATCTGTCTCAACGAAAAACGGTTATTCCATTGGCAGTTATGTAGTTCCGTCACTTTCGGAGCTGGTTCTCTTAATATTCCCCATGCTTGCAGATGTACCTTGTCTTTGCTTCACAGAAAAGCTTCTTTTTCTGAAAAAGACTGAATTCCCGTTTCAGCAACTTCACATTTTAATGGGCTTGTCAGAAAATCGAGCTCACTGAAAGACTCTGAAAAGACGATGACTCTATCGTAAGGTTCACACACACAAATTATTTGAAAATCAATAAATATGGATTGTGAAAGTAGATTTTACTTACACTACTCTTTTGTGAGATCAAACCTACCAGTTACAGAATTCGCAACCCAGATGCATTTTGTATCACGTGATATTTCTATGGTTCTCATCCTGAAACACATTCCAGGGGTGAAATGTGAGACAATACATGGAAGCATTGACAGTTGTTCGGAGTGAACATCTTTTGGTGACTGTGCAGAGTAATACAAGAATTCCTCAACCCCCGTCGGTTGCCTGGTGATACGAGTGGCGGTTTATTTGCACCTTACGTCAGGTTGTTGATGAGTTGTAAACAATCGATGGTACGCCCAAATCGTGTGTGGGGACCAGAGCATTTTTAAGATAGCCTACGCGTTGTAAGCTGAGTGCTGACAGACAAGCGCGAAAACATATATACATGGTTGAGTCATTCAGTGAATAGTACTCCGTTGGATTGAATGACTGGATACGGCAGTGAAGCATCGATCATGAAAACTGATGTCATGCTGTCGATGATGATGATGATGATGATGATGATGATGATGATGATGATGATGATGATGATGATGATGACGAAGGGGGAAGAGGAGGAGGGTTGACTTGCTTGTTAGTCATGCCAGACTGGAAGGAATTACCTGGTACTCATTCGAGTCTTGCGCGAATAAACGATTTCTTCATGTCGGCAATATGGAGGCGATAGAGTGGGATTTCTCCCTCCGGAATGCAGAATGCGCCGCAACTCGGTGAAAGATTAACTCTGTGATCATCCGAAGCATCATTAACATCGTCACCAGCAGTGGCTGTTACGTCGTCAGAATCAGGGTAGTTCAAACCTACCTGGTTTATGAGAGTTGTTTGTTGATGCCACCCGAGCATTTAGCTGAGTTTAGCATTCCAAAGCCTCAACAGAAACTTTCACCGTCAAATATATAGTTCTTGAATTGCACTTTTGTCAGGTTCAACAGGCCTTCAAAACCGCACAAAATTTTACGAAACGTCGAGTAGTCGGTTACCCCCTGGGAGATATCTGAACATCATTTATGCTAGATGTTTCATTGAAGCACTCGTGAATGTTTGTGGTACTTCCGTTTTTGAGCGGCGCATCTCTATTACCATCCTGTTTCATGATGAACATCAAAACAAGGACAGTAAAGAGAGGTAAATCGATTTGCTTCTATTCGAACTGTGGGTCTGACTAAAACTACGAACTGCGCAGTGATGTTGTGTCTTCCGGTATGTTTGTAGCGAAGTCGGGTTAGAAAATATTGCGAATTACATTTAAATGGCTCGTTTATTTATTTACCACTCACCACTTCAGTAAAAGCTAAATTAAGCGGTTTTTCACATGGACAGCCATTTCGGTCTAGACAGCTATCGATCGATGCAATTCAAACTTCAAACCTAAAACTGGTGACAATGTGAGGAGATTTGGTGATTGCTAATTTGATATTTCGTGCTCTAAATGAACCTAATCTATGTTGAGAACTCGTGATTCCCTGCTTCATCCCTATCGGAAATTATCAGCTGTGAATATCTCATGAAACCGCAGAGGGTCTGTAACCAACAGCCCACTGGCCAGTAGCTCGAAAGTCCGAACACGAACGTCCCAACAGCATCGTGATTGGTCCTCACCTAGGATGCATCACAACCCATCCTCCAATCACGAATCCCGATCACGCGGTCACGTGTTGACTGGTCAGTCGAGTGACGATTTCTCAGATGCAAGTTTCCCTCGTCTTGTGAGGTCACTCTTCCTCTGATGTGCTTATTGATTAATGGTGATATGGGATGATTTTATAATTTCCAATTGAGATTTTGTCCTATCGATTAGTACATCAAACTAATTTAAATTCTATGGTTGAACACCCGGTCAGTATGAGGATATTGTCAATTAATCGATAAGCATGAAACCGTTCACTAGATTCACGTGACCATATTCTCTACGGCCATCTACTGAATAGCAAAAAAACTAAGGAACTTAGTGGCGAAATACATATATACTGGAGATCCCCTTGACTTGGTCATTAACACCAGGATTCATGGAAATTCAACAGCCTTACCTGCTAAACCCTTAAAAGTCCGGGACCGGTGGTGGGCTGCGGATGAGTTTTCAGCAACCTTATAAGTAGTGTACCGATATTTTCCATGATATATCGAATAGTGACCTTTGCGTAACAAGATCATTTGTAAATAACACAAACGAAGGGTTCTGTTGCGTCTGTCGTTAACACCAATTCAAACTAAAAATGTGTGCATTTCGCCAGTGGTTGACACATTTCGTGGGTCAAACGCTCCACGAGTTGCGCAGGTCTTCCCTCAAAGAATTTTTGACTGGTTGATCCGATCGATAACAGATCGCATGACGTGTAGTGATAGATCGAGGATGTCTTAGGGTACAGTTACCCTTTTAGGAATAGATCACTGTTAGAAGGGTTCTTTCAGTAACTTCGCCTCAGATTGACCCACAAGAGTCCCTGTTAGAGTGGGGGGGGGGTCTATTATTGAGGATCACTCCTGAAACTAAGCCACATCCTGAAGGTGGCTTCCTTTGAATAAGCGATTTCAGAAATGGCCGTTTCATCCACGTTTCATACCGAACCGTTTCGAATCTCCTCAACTCGAAAGCCATTCGAAAGAAACTTTTTAATTTTTTCCCCGTTTTCCATTCTCAGCTACTTCACGTGTGAAGAAAACTGCTTTATCAACTTCTCCTACGACGGTCGAGAATTCCTACTTTTCAAGACACCAACCGGCAGTGTTTAAGACGTCCCACTTTATGCTTACATGTTGCTTTTAATAAAAATCAGAAAATATAGGTCTTGCTAGCGTTGTGACTTCTTTTCGGAATTAATTTGAAAATCTGGAATGAAAATTTTAACGATTCCACAGAGCAATGTTTTTACGAAATTGCCTCCTTATTCTGTTCGCTAAGCTGGATAGTTCGGTCCATTCTTCAAATAAGATAACATGTTCAGTTGATTAGCGGTGCATCAGACAACTCAAGGGATACGGACTGTTAGAAAGACGGGGTACCAGACAACCACAGTAATGTGGAACCAACTTAACAAGGTTCACTGGGGCAAGTCAGGAGAAGCCCAATTCTAGGGACATCCGGTCAAACAAACGCGAACAGCCATCAAACAGCCCGTGAAATACACTCATTTGTAGATTAATTTGTTTCTTCGAGAGACTCACCTGGAACCCAGCTGAATCTCTCATTTTCATGATGTTCTCAGGCAACTGAATGGGCTGCACCAGGCCGCCTTATGTTTCCGTCGCTACGATATTCGAGATATCGCGATACAAATATATTTTTGTAATACACTACTCATATATATGTATCGCGATATCTCGAATATCGTAGCGACTGAAACATGAGGCACATTTAGTTGCCTGGAAACATCAAACGGAGAGATTCAGCTTGGTTCCAAAGGAGTTTCTCAAAAACCGAATTAGTATGCAACTCAGTGTATTCCACTAATTTCGTACAATTTGGTTCCAAGCAGAACGTAAGGTTGACGGAAACCCGGGAACTGCGCCTACCTGATGAGCCCGAAGTGGAAGGGCGAAACCGGTCGTGGGCTGTCGAGGTGTTTTCAGCAACCTTATGAGAAGTGCAGCCCGGCATTTCATTCGTCAACAAGAAAGACACAAGCGGAACACTACTTAGGGCTCACGCGAACCAAATAGAGCGTCCAGAAACTACGACACTTCGCATGGTGAGTCCGTGATTCCGGGCAAACGGTCCAGCTCGACGATCAACTTTCAAAATCCGCCTGGATGTCAATCACTGCTACGTACATTTCCACAACGGGTTAAAGACAACAGTCGGTTGCGAAATATCTGTGGTTCCCACAGTGCTAAGACAGGTTAAATTTTTTAAAAATTGGAGCACCAAATCGGATTAAACGTTCCTAGTAGAATAGATTGTTCTAGTCCAGGTCACTGTGGACAACCTCGTCGTGGGTTCTTCACGTGACTTATATACCATTTTCACAACAGGTGTAAGGAGGAATTTCGACAAGAACGGCCTGATTTTGTTCTGAGAAATAGCCTTACTCAACCGGGACGCACAAGCTTCACAACGAGAAAACCGTTTCGCTCAAGTGGTTAAAGCGCGAATTTACTGACCGGAAGGTCGTTGGTTCGAACCCGACCTCTGCCTTTCGACTTCTCCTGTCTAGGCTTTGACAACCTGGCAGTATCCCAGCCCTCGTGCTTCCTCCGGGTGGCAGCTAGACATCGATTATCTCTTATCTTTACGTCATACATCAGAAGACTTCTGTCTCATAAAGCCCTATTCTTAGGGTGAAAATGGCCGAAAAGCATGAGTTGATCCTGAGTTGGGAATCCTCAGCGTCTGAGCGGTGCTATATCTTGTCAAAGTGCGAGTTGATCACTCCTGGCAGAACGGCCAATTGTTCAAACTAGTAGCCGGGAGGTCGCTGATTCGAGACTCTCTGGAGTCTCGTGAGATGTGCACTGCTGCTGATGCCCAATGGGGATGAAACAGCTGTACTGTATTTTTCTAAATTTCGTGCTGTTTGAATTCAAGTTGGTTAGCTGAAGTGAAACTCAGGGACTATATCTACCTGTTAAACCAGAATAGAAAAGTTGAAACCTGTCCAGGGCCGTCGAAAAGTTTCCGGCAGCCTTATGAGAAGGGTCACCAGAATTTTCAGTTTTACACGGATTTGTAAAATAGCAACGTTACAAATAATTATGAATATACATGCGGAAAGAAAATTTATCAGGGTGCGACCGCGACGCATGCACGAACAGACTATGAAAGCCAAACAGTTTCAAAAGTTCACATTTCAAAGACAAGAATGAAGTTTTGCGAAGGCGAAAACCTTTCGGTCTGGTTAGGTTACATTTGAAAAACAGTGTCAAAATGCAGTTGTTTATTGCCCAACCTTTCGCAACCCCGCGCCTCAGTGATCTTTTTCCGGGTTGGGACAATCAGAATGACAAAAAATAGGAGGGAATCCAATGCGGTGGCGACTGTCACAAGGTCGTCATTTGATTGGTCAAAGAGACGCGCGCACATCTGCGGTTTGAGGGTGATATTGATCCGACAATCGATCGATTCTCACCAGACAGCAAACACGGGCAGACTGCGGTCTCAGTCAAAACACGCGGGTTGGGTACGCACAGCGTCATTTTGAATATTTCCAATGTCCTGTTTGAATTTATTGAGCTGCGGTAATTCTGTGCTTACGCATGTGGAGCGATGACTGACTCTCCTTCAGGTTTCTCATGCGCTCTTGCGCACTCTGAGTTGCCTACAAGGTGTTCCCCTAGCTCAAGAATACTTTGCAATGTGTAGGTGAGCACACTCATGCCCAGAATGTCTCTCCAGACTTACCCGGTTGGACAATTTTAACCCGCTTGGTTGAATCATGACCAGACTTGCACTCGTGTCGTCACGTTATCGAACAGACATAGAGGCCCAATCGGTAGCGCTTTCCACACAGTTCCTTGGTGGACATCAGACGGCAGTTCCGTAAGGAAAGAACCTACCGTTTGACAGTTGATAAATTGGCCCATTTGACGAAACATTTGGATAGAAATTAACTCAGGTAGACGACGTCCAAATGCGTGAATGAATTCACTAAAATAGACTTCAACCAACCTTGTGAGTAGTTTCCTTCATGAAAATATACTGCTATATCTCGACTATCGTGCCAACTGAATCATGAAGCGGCCTGTGTGCAGCACATTCAGTTAGAGAACATCATAAACGGGAGATTCAATTGAGTCTCCCGTTAAAACCAAATCGATTTGCAAATGAGTGTATTTCTCGAAAACGGCCCAATTTGGGTTCCAGTAGATCATAAGACTGACGGAAACTCGGGGACTGCGCCTACCTGATGAGCCCCAAGAAGGGCGAAACCGGTCGTGGGCTATCGACGAGTTTTCAACAACCTTGTGAGTAGTTTCCTTTATGAAAAAAGACTTCAACCAAGTTTTGCTTGAGCTCATCAAACAATCAAATGAGCAAATGGAGAGCCAATTGCTGCTTGAAGTAGACAAGACGGAAGACAACAAACGCCGAATGAATTGCAACGATAGCGAAAGTTGTGAAATTGCTGTGAGAGACGGCTGACATACGACGTCCCTCTTTCCTTCGAGTCTGGCGGTCCGAGGACTCGATCCATCATGTCAAGTAAGCGCGAAATATCACCTCTAAATAGAACCGTCACAAGTAATCGTTTTGAAACCTGCAAAAGGGTTCTCAGATGCATAATCTCCAAGAGATAGAAATTTCTTAAGAAACTTCCCATGCGTGTACGGAAGAATTTTACCACAGAAATTAAATTAAGTCCTCAATCAATTGGAAAAGGTTTGGAAACTGATAGAGGGGTCATCGTTTCAGAAGAGCTTGGTAAACAATCGGTAGTTGTTATTTTGACAACGTTTCGCTTTTGACACAAAAGATTCATCAGGCCAAGTGAACAGGTCATCAAATTGGCCAGGTTATAAGACGGACGGGGAACCAATCAGTAAGTCAGTCCTCTTCATTTTATCACACCAGATCAGTGTTGATTGTCAATTAACGGCGGAACACGTACTGGACACGCGACACTAAACAGACTTAGAAAATGTTGAGGTTTTGAGGCGAGGACTACGGTCCACGTCACACAGACTGATCACCGAGGCTTTTGAAATCGCCAAGCATCCCAGTGTTAACAGAATGGAAGGCGTGGAACCGGCAAGCGTGTGGAAAACGGTTTTGGATCAGTCGAGCTGACACGTGTTGGTGTGCGGTCATCAGAAAGAGGAGCAGCCATCATCTGAATTCCACTTGACCTCACCCCCCCCCTCAAACTAAATTGTCGGGGCACTCACAACCCCACAAAGACCAAGGAAAGTCTACCAATGGAACCCGAGGTGAATTGTCAATTGAAGCACCCTGAAGTGGAAGGTTAACGAACCAAACCCGATCAGGATTAATTTGAAACACCCCCAGTCCGCCAAAGCAAGATTTTGACAACCACCCTAACCGACAAGAGCCGTTAACTGAAACTCAACACCGATCTAGTGTGATACTATGAAGAAGACTGACTTACTGATTGGTTCCCCGTCCGTCTTATAACCTGGCCAATTTGATGACCTGCTCACTTGGCCTGATGAAGCTTTTGTGTCAAACGCGAAACGTTGTCCAAATAAAAACTACCGATTGTTTATCAAGCTCCTCTGAAACGATAAAGTAAATCCTATTTTCATCGTCCTCGTTGAGGTTCCCAGTGCGAAACCTTGAATGACGCGTAGGTTAGACAATACCTAAGAATTGGATTCAAAGGTTTACGGTACTGTTTACACAAGGGTAAGCAAATTTATACAAAAAAACCTCAGCTGCTTAGGTTCGTAGCGTCAACATGTGTACAGGTCTGTCACTGACCGGCGCAGTGCAGTCCAATGTCGACGTCGGCACTCCAAACAACGGCGAGCAGAATGATGGCGGCTCAGTTGCGGTTGTCCCTTTCGACGACGGTCTCGTGATTCTCATTGGACGTGCGATAACACGGAACAAGTCAAGGCAGGCTCAGCAAACGGGACATGGGTTAGTAGGTCAGCAGCAAGGCACATTCACACACAGGTCAATACACAAGTGTCGGAAAGGACGGCCTCTGCGGCAAGGTGAGTGCCGGGTACGAATAAGCAAAACAACTGGAGGTCAAAAGTACATAGGCGGAGTAAGCAAATGAATGGGGGTTTATCCTAAGGTCAAGTTAAACTCAACACTCCCCACCATAATTCCTCCATGAATTACTATGCAACAGGATAAGGGTAAAGGGGAACATTTATCATGGTGTATTGAATACAATGTCTTCAGTAAGTAAATGCGGGAACATTGTATGAATACCATGTGTTGAGTTCTGAGTATATACTCACTTGGCAAACACCAATACGTAAATTGAGAAAACACTGCCTTGTAGGTGGGTATTGCTGGACAAAACTCAAAGTTGGTATGATGTAGTCCGTAAGTGGCCCTCCGAACTAAGTCACGTCATATAGCACACGCACAAACTGAAAAGCTGTTGAGCTAGGTTTCGAAACGCCTTTTCCAGGCTAGAAACTTCACGAATCTGAGGCACTGTGTAGAAACTGTCTGGAAGTGGGTAACACCCATATGCGTCATTTCCGCTAATGGATCTACGGGCTCGCCATCCGCCCATGGTGGGTGGAACGGTCTGCTCACAAGTGGTTAGTGGAGCGCACCCCAAAGAACCGCAGATTGACCGATGATTGTCCTCTTGTGAGGTGACTTCTTCATCCTCGGTTACCGGAGCGCACCCCGTGTAACAGTAGTCTGGTCGGTTGTCATCCTCTTCTGAGTTGATGGGAACAGCCAATGCATCATCCATCCAAAGGTTAAGAGACACAAGAAACTTCCACGTCTCTGTCTAGTCAACTGCCGTTTCCGATACAAGACCCCATCCTCCTCGTCCAATTCAGCAATGCTCTCCCGTAATTCGGCAAGCGCAGCCGACGTCATAGTGGTGGGAAAAGCCAAGAGCCAGGAAGGAATCATGCAGGAACGGGTCCATGAAAAAACTGCAACTGTGACTCGGTGTCAAATAGATCGGGTTGTCAATCCAATCTCACGAACAGGATTGAGTACTGTTGAGGTACCCGATATGGAACTTTGAGTGAGCCGTAGGTTCGACAATCTCGAATATCAAGAGGAAGAAATGGGTTCTTAATTCTACGGTACTGTTTACACAAGGGTAAGCAAATGTGTACAATAAACCTCACTTGTTCACCTTCTTAGCGTTAACAAGTTCACAGGTCTGTCACTGACCGGGGCACAGTGCAGTGTCGAGGTCCGCACACGAAACAACGTGTGGGTCTTCCAATCCAACGACAGTCTCGTGATTCTCATTGGACGTGCGATCGGACGGGCCTCATGAGAAAACAGGTCAAGGCAGGCGAATGCAGGGTACAGATGAGAAAAACAAGTGGAGTAAGCAAATGAACGGGGGAATTGTCATAAGGTCACGGGAGACTCGACGGTGTGTTCAACCCAACTACCACGCCGCTAATGACAACAGTTTGTCTGTTTTTGTGATAACACCAAAAAGACAAGTGGGCGATTGGTTTTGCAATGACCAATTCGGTTGAAGTTATCTGCATTCCCGAGCGGGAACTCTCTGCGGTGAAATTATTTAGTTTGACAAGTCATTCGAATAGGAAATTTGGGCTATCTCGGGAGGCGTGAAACCGTCAAACCTGAGTAGTGCAATGTGGTAAGTACGGTATTCGGGAAGTGTTTCGACTACTTTTCAGGAGTCATGGTGAACAAAAGAAGATTGAGAACGAAGCAGTAGGTTGGAAAATTCCAGTGGCATATTCTTTAGTTTGATTGATTTACGCAAAAAATAATGAAAAACTATTTTGAGGATAGAGGAAACTACTCACAAGGTTGCTGAAAACTCTTCGACAGCACAGGACCGGTTACGCCCTTCTTGGGGCTCATCAGTTAGGCACTGCCCCCGAGTTTCCATCAACCTTAGGTTCTACTTGAACCCAAATTGGACCGTTTTTGAGAAATACACTCATTTGCAAATCAATTTGATTTTCACGAGAAAGTCAACTGAATCTCTCGTTTATGGTACTCTACAATTGAATGACTGCACACAGGCTGCCTCATGCTTCAGTTGACGGGACATTTGTCATATCGAAGTGTGTTTTCCTAACGGAACGTACTACTCATGGTTGCTGAAATCCACTGGTTTTAGCCTTCTTGGAGCCGTAGGCAGGAGCTGTCGTCGAGCCTATACATCGAATTGTGTGCAACCGCCGGACTGCGTTTATTCCTAAATTACGTGTATGTTAACGACAGACTCAACCTAAAATCCAGTTCATGGATGTCCTGCAGAAAAGCGACTTTCTGTTTCAAGTTTTGTCAAAAATAGCTGAAGTACACTTTGAGGACACGAGTGTGTGAGGCCAATGTCTTTTGCAAAGCGTCCGAGTACTGATTTTTTGATCTTCGCGAGTTCACCAAGTGCGAGTTCACCAATGTGAAACACAGCGACGGGAACAGACCATGAACATCAATACTTGAACCGAATCAATGGTCACAGAAAAGTGGAAAACAGTGCTTTGTAATTTGCTACTCGTAAGGTTGCTGAAAATCCATCGACAACCCACGACCGGTTTCGCCCTTTTCGGGTCCCATCCGGTAGGCGCACTCCCCGGGTTTCCGTCAACCTTGAAACCAAATTGCACGAAATTAACGAATATACACTCATTTGCAAACTACTTTGGTTTTTTCGAGAGACTCACCTGGAGCCCAGCTGAACCCCTCATTTGTGATGTTTCCAGGCAACTGAATGTGCAGCACCAGACCGCCTCATGTTTCAGTCGCTACGATATTCGAGATATCGCGATACATGTATGTCTTTGTAATGTACTCCTCTTAAGGTCAGCAGCAAGGTGCAGCACATTCAGTCGCCTGTAAACATCAAAGTTGAGAGATTCAACTGGGTTCTGGGTGAGTCTCTCGAAAAGCCAAATTAGTTCGCAAATGAGTGTATATTCGCTTAAAACAGTGCTTATTTAATTCATGGTAATTCTCCAATTTATTTGTCTACACCGTCCATGTAGCTTTGTTCCCTGATTGCATTGTCTACCCATGTCCACCATTTGCCTTGCCATAAATGACCTCCTTTCAGATACCGGTGTAACGGTCGATACTACTAATGAGGCGTGCAAGTAGTATGTGGGCCCCAGTAACCCCGCATTAATCCAGTGGAACGTAGGATTTAATATGGAATTTGTGGAATCGCTTTGCAGCATTCGTTTACATTTGCTTGATATTGAATAAATATCTAGGAAAGTTTAAGAAGATGCGTTCAAAACGAAAACTGATATTCAGTTTTTAAAAATTAGGTGCATATGAGAGTTTTGCTTTCCTGTCCTATGGTTTGTTACTATCTAGTAAGTGTTTCCAAAGTGAAGGGCTTCTTTCATTCACCGGCATGTGTGTGTGTGTGTGTGCATGTGCGCGGCTAATCTACCTGCTGACGCGTGTTTGTGCCACGTCTGTTGTGTCCGACCTGACTTGTTTTTCCGTGATTTCCCCTGTGATCGCGCCGCCAATTAGAATCACGAGACTGTCCTCGAAAGGAAGGGTCGCTCCCCATAGTACCGAGGCAAAATCCCGCTCGGCGTTGTCTGGTTTGCGGACACTGACACCGCGCGGTGCAGACTACTGGGAGACATTTACACATGTTGACACCACGAACGTGGACAATCGATACCTATATTGCTTCGCCCCCTTTTGTATAAATAGTACCATGAACGTTTGAACCAAATTCTTTCTTTTGAATTTCGAGATCGTCAAACCTACGCGTGTCTATTCTCTCCTGGACTCCGCCTTTCATCTAGGACGTAAAAACAGCTGACATACATTAAAATGGTTTTGCCACGCTTTTCATAAAGGAATCTACTCACAAGTTTGCTGAAAATTCTTCGACTGGTTTCGCCCTTCTTGAGGCTCATCAGGTAGGCGCAGTCCCCGAGTTTCCGTAACCTTATCTTCTACTCTGTTTGTCAGGTGACATTTCAGAACCACAGCGCTTCTTCAAAACTTGTAAGTGTGTGGATGTCAAACGCTGGTTGCTGGAGGCGTCCCATATTTTGGAATCTCTTTGGGAATGTGCTGAATATTCGCCCTACGCTGCTGCTAGAGTGAATCACCTTAAACAGATGAATTTTCAAGGTTTCTCTTGGAGATCCAAATTCCTCAAATTTTCCAATCTTGTTTCACCTACCAAAAAAAGAATTCGGTAATGTGCATCAGGTTCAGTGTCACGCTTTTCCAAAAATATCTACAAAGATTCGACAATCTTTGAAGTGTGAAATACACCCGAAAAGTTGAGCACGCAAATGAGCAATATAGCTGTTCATTCTGAGTCGCTGTGCCGACAGTCAGATGAGCTTCCACTGCGACCAATCAGATTGACTTGTTCTGGAGGTCACATGATCCATCCGCATCAAGGAATGTTAGTCAGCCCAATCAAACTTAACCGCGCGTGCGTGCGTGTGTGCATGTGATTGTGAGCGCGCGCTTCCGGGACGATCAATACGATAGTTCGTTTTCAGCACAGCTCATGTTTCTTCCAGCCCATATTAGCACACACAAACTATGTCGCACACAATAACAACAGAGTATAATTCCTCAACCGGCATTGTGACCACAGTCAAACGCAGGATGACTGCAGATTCTGTAGATGTTCAAATCACAAACAACGATATGCCCGAACCGATGCAAGATGAGATTGTGAAACAGGCAGTCGATCAATTAGATCAAGCGCAACCGCTGAACACATTTCCGGAACTGATGAAAGACTGGTTGGATAAGAAATACGGGCCAAGATGGCATTGCGTTCTGGGCAAAAACTATTGCAGGTAGGTGGTTCAGCTGTTTCTTGATTAAGCAAACGCTTACCTAGCCGGATATCTTTCTTGAAAGGTTGTTTTCTGGAATTCGTCGTGGAAGGACAATGTATACTAATCTACAGAACACGATGATTCACAGCTGAACACTGTTTGCCAGTCCTGTTTCTTTCGACCAATAGGATCGAGCCTATTGATTGTGACTGCGATTTAAATGTTGCGCCGATAATTTTGTCTATTCTCAGCTGTAGCAAACAAGCAAAGTGATTTCTGCTGATACGCTGTAGGAATTCAGTTTGTTCCCTATATATAGTCATTACTATGTGTTATTTGAATCAGTATTATTATTTATAGTAGTATAAAACGATGGTTTTCTCACTTATTCTACAACCCGGTTGGTCATGACGCGTGGATCTTAAAAAAGATTGGCACAGACAGATTACTCAGCTTGCTTCGATTGCAAAGGTCTCATTACCACTCAAGGTGATATCATCAGTACGTCGTTAGGGGGTGTAGTGGGGAGTAGCGATGGGTCGGTTGTTGTGCATTGAGTACTGTTGCGTGTGTACCGGGTCTGACGAACCACGATTAGTTGTTCGGTCAGGCAGTTCCATAAGTACCTCTGTTATCCAATATCCTGATTGATCGATAACCGTGCTGTCGTACAGTGGTTGATGCAAGAGTAGTCTCTCTCCTCGACCCCCATGGTTCCAGTTTTTGACCTTTGTTGATCTAACTTCAAGCAGTTTCCTGCTTCTTGGTTTGTTTAATGATGCTCTGTTTGATGTATTGGCCCTTTGAACGCAGTGGTGCGTAAATCGGATCTAGTTCAATGCATCGAAACCGCCGTGGGTACCATGCTCCCAAAAATTCTCTTCCGTGTCTGGTGGCCATAAAACAGCACGTGTACTAAACATCGCTACGTTCCACCACGCTCCCGAACAACGCACTGATGATGTCACCTCGACTGGTGATCACACGTTTGCCCGGTTCATCGAACAAGACAACGACGAGTAGCTGCGTTACTTAAGGTTCTAAACCTATTCCCCACTAGAAAAAGTACAACTTATCGATATCTCATAAAGCTAGAGTGTTGGTCAGTCTCCAGTGCAAGAACACTCGCTGTCCTGCTTGATATGGCCACCAAAAAGGGACAATTTCGATCTGATGAGCGACACACAAGGAACGACTTGTCTTTTGGATTGGTGGGGACCGTTAGAAACCCAGAAACGAGACCGGAAATCAGGTGACCGTTCATAAACAGAGAGCAGAATGCTCCGAATCTATGCTGATCGGTTTCCGTTCGGTCGGTACCTCCTGTGACTAGCCTTGGTGACATCTTATGAACAGCGACCGAATCTTCCATACAACGACGGTTAATCTAAATGGTCCAGTCAACAGCACTGTCAGCTCAATTACTCAAAATAATCTCAGTAGTGTGGCCTTTAATCCAACCGGATAGCCTAGATTTGTATACATCCACGTCCTGAAGCGTACGCTGTTTATGGTCCTCGCTAATGAGAGAAAGACCGCCTGGTTCTCCAGTCACCGCTGAGTCAACTTACGTTTATTAAGGCACTGCGAACCAGTGATGAATCCGTAGAATGCATGTTTTTGGGTTTGCGGGGTGTGTACTGTTCACATCGTATTGTAACACATTCGCCTCGCACGTCAGATGTCCTGTTCGAATCCAGGCACGGTCATTGGACATGCAATGCTGATGAGCTCTAATAAGAGCGAAACTCGAGTCCAGTGCTTCCTCCCCTTTGGTGTGGATTCACCAGAATCACTGCGCCAGGGCAGAAGAATGACTGTTCAGACGAGAGTGATGTGGATGTGAATCCATAGGAGTTTTTACCCGTTGCTTTCTGACTATATTTTCGTTTCTCGTGTCGTGCATCTGTGATTGTAGAGTGGATTGCTGTCCCTTCGAACGCATGTCGAGTTCCTGACTTTTGTGTATGGGTTGATTTCAAAAGAACCGCGCCTAATCTGACACGGTAACTGATCAGGCACCATTCTCAAGGCAGAATCACTGCGCCAGGACAGAAGAATGACTGTTCAGACGAGAGTGATGTGGATGTGAATCCATAGGAGTTTTTACCCGTTGCTTTCTGACTATATTTTCGTTTCTCGTGTCGTGCATCTGTGATTGTAGAGTGGATTGCTGTCCCTTCGAACGCATGTCGAGTTCCTGACTTTTGTGTATGGGTTGATTTCAAAAGAACCGCGTCTAATCCGACACGGTAACTGATCAGGCACCATTCTCAAGGCAAATGCATGTGAATTGGGTTGAGAAAACAGGTGGAAACTAAGCCGAGTTCGCGCAGATTTGAACAACAATCGAGCACCTCAACGGGTTGCAAGTTGGTATTCTTCATTATTGGATTGTGTCACACTATACTGGTGTGAAATACGAGATAAACGTAAAAAAATTGAGGAGACCAGTTAAACAGCTTGAAAGAACACAAAACAGTCAGTTGGAAAGAACCACTTTGTTTAGGATGGCGGGGGAGCGGACAGCGGAATCCACCGAAACGGATTGACATTCAGATCGATGATAGCACACCAACTTACTGTTCAAACCGGAGAAAACCGAGACTGAACAACTTGAGCCAAAAAAGGATATTGGAGACTGCCAGAGCTCTCGGATGATTGACTGAAGGTCAATACAACTGTTCTCTGATTGGCTCCCATAGAGAAAATCCATCTGAACAGGTTTTAAGGGTGTTTATCTGTCCCGGAATATCTTTTGATATTCTAGACAGGAAACTGCCTGTAGGGTTGCTTAAACTGTTTGACACTTCACCACCAGTTTCGTCGTTCTTGGGATTTATCAGTGGGTGCACTTGAGCTTGAACGCAATTGGACAAGATGAACAGGACACTCGGATTCGTTTTTGACGGAAGACTAAACGGTGATGTTGTTCAGCTGAATGTGTTGCTACAGTGTTAGCCTATTGTTTCCGTTGCAATGGCCCAAGGAATCATTAGTGGGCTGTTGTAGAAGTCAATAGGTTGAGACTGTCAATCCTGTCTTCGTATGGTTTATTATGCAATCGAATTACCAGCTTCGTGGCTCGATGATATATTCCGTGTAGAAGAATTATGTCTTTTTGAAGCCATGGTGACCAAGCTTGTATAGCGTACTCCATGGTTGGTCGGATGTAGGTATTGATTACTCGGGGCAGTGCCAGTCGAGTGAAACGACCAAAAATCCGTTTTAGGAGCGACAGGACTTGTGAGGTCCTCTTGTAGACGGCTGTGCATTGCAAGGAGTTTTTTAAACAGCTGCTGACCCACACGCCAAGATCTTTTTCTTCACTAGTCCAAGAAAGTGGTTGTGGACCCAACGTATAGTTATATGCAAAGGGCTTCCCTACACGGAGCATTTTACATTTTTGGAGGTTAAACGGTAGTCTGTTTTTCAGTGACCAATCATAAAGTGTATCGAGATCTTTTTGTAATCGGTGACTGTCTTCAATGGTGCGTATGCTTGACCATATCTTGATATCGTCTGCGAATAAAGTGATTTTACTGCTCACGAGCTCAGGTATATCGTTTACGTATAATAAAAATAAAGTAGGCCCAAGAACGGAGCCTTGGGGTACTCCACTTGTAGCTGCAATTGGCTTGGACAGAGCGCCGTCAACACATACACGCGCGTCTCGGTCAGCCAAATAGATTTCAAGCCAAGCCAGCAGCTTTCCCGTAATACCATAATGCTCGAGTTTTTGCAACAATATGTTATGGTTCACGCGATCAAATGCCTTGGAGATGTCTAGATAGCATGCGTGAACGGGATTTCCATTGTCCACAGCTTGCGTCCAGTCGTCTAAGGTAATGAGGAGATTGGACAGACAGGATCTGTTTTTTCTGAAACCATGCTGGGCAGCCGAAAGCAATCCGTTTTCCTCTAAGTGTTTAATGATTTTGTTTGCCACCAGTCGCTCAAGCACTTTGGAGATCACCGGCAACAGAGTCACCGGCCGGTAGTTTGACACGACCGAACGATTACATCCGGCTTATATATTCCTTCTGACAGTAAACAGTGGAATAGAACTCGACCAGTTCTTCAGCTGCAGCTAACGCAGTGGCCGTCAGTCCATTAGGGGTATGCAGAGGTGAAATACCCGGTTTCACAGACGCCTTATTATAAATGATCCAATAGAGAAGAAAAAATCGGTATCACAGATGTCGTACCTACGGTATCAGAAGGCGGCCTTGGCGTAGCACATTCACAAATGGAGAGTTTATTCCAGGATCAGGTAACGTCAGCTTCGTTTACACACGAGAGTACTTGGACCTTTGGTCCAAGAAGGTTTCTTGAATTATTCTGTTACCTTGATAAAGTCACCGGTAATTTTGCGCTGGTTTCACGCTTTTTTTAATTTCATTATATTCTTCATATGGGCCTAAATTCAACAGCCACAGTGGTCCACGAAGCATGAATGATCCATTCATTGGAATATTTAGTTTTGAATAGAACGGGTACTTTGCAGACAACCTCTGTCAGTCAAAATAGCTGTACTGGTTGACAAGGCTTATTGAGTTGGGAAGACCAGTACACGCACCGCCGATACTGATCAAGGAAATTCTCGTTTCCACGTTATCAGGAAGGCCAGACTCCTGAAAGCAACCACTGAATGCCCGAAATCTACCGAGACTCCCATCTCCACTAGATGCAGACCAGACAAAGCCCCCGCAATATTCAGCACGTCGCAGCCTCGTACCAAGGCCAGACAGTGTGCGTCAGCACTGGACCAAGTTGGACAGCGTCCATCCAATAATTAGCTCGAGACTGCTGTATTTTCGCACTCGCACGCACTCACGTTCTCACTCTCGCTTGTTCGGAATGTAGCTGTTGCGTTCCCTTCTGTGAGTCTTTGTCCCGGCATTAGGCACTGAAGCGGGTCAGAAGTCAGATACAACAGATTGACAAATCAGTAGATATAACACAGGTAAAAAAAACCCAAGTGAGACACGTTGTCTCTTGACAAGAAGAAGTAATAGATTCTGGGCGATATCATCGCACAACCGGCGGGTCTCCTGCCACGTGAATTACAACCCCACGGACATCCCCACAGCTGATGGGAATACCTTGAATTACTAGCACGTCTGTCAGAGTGTCGGTTGGGCTTATTCAA